GAATAAGCACAGGGGAGTGCAACCCTGTTGTTGTTCCTTGTTCTCTCACCAGCTTTTGATAATACTGACTGAGACAACTTAGTGAGATGGGTGTTGGAGACAATTAAGCAGTGGTTTCAATACTATCTTCAGGGTCAGTTTCAGAGAAACTGGGTGATTTTCTTTTGCCCGCCTGGCTGTGCTGTGAGGTGCCATGAGGCCGGGTGTCAGTGGTGGGCTGGATAAGGGCCAGTAAACTGATTCTGAATCCTGGTAAGATGGAGGCACAATGGGTGGGTGCATTCTGTATCAGGATAATTGGACAACTGCCTGCTTTGGAGGTTTGCAGTCTGTGGGTGCTTCTGGGTCTCCTTTGGCTGGGTCTCCAAGATAGCCTGACCACTGTTGTCCATGTGCTGGTAACCTCCAGGCTGGATTACTACAATGCACTCTAGGTGGGTTGCTGCAGCTGGTGCAAAATGCAGTGACTCAGCTGCTCACTGGGGCAGGATATTACCACGTTACCCTGCTGATGAGAAAATTGCATTGACTGACAATTAGCTACTGTTTCTGGTTTTGGTGTATAAAGTCCTTTACAATTTGGGTCCAGGATACCTGAAAGATTGTCTCACTCCTTTCATACCTATTCAGTCTACTCAGAGGTCTATTCCACACAACGCAGGAATCATAGCTATGGGAATCCCCTGCTCCTGAATATTAATATTAGACAGGTACTCTCTCTGTTGTTTCTTCTGTCTACTGAAGTTTTTTTTCTTTCAAAAAAGAAAGCTGAGATCTTTCCCCGTCTGCATGTGTATTGGAATGGTTTTTAAGATTTTGTTTCAAGATTTTTTTTTAAATTTCATTTTCTAATACACAGAAATAATAATAATTGCCATAAAGGAGAGAGAGAGTGTGTGCACTTGTTACTTGCCACCTTCGGCTCCTTTGGGAGGATAGGATAAAATAGGATAAAAATAATAATTAATAAATGACTAATGTAATGCATTTTTATTTATTCTTTTTTATTTTTGTTGTTGTTGTTGTTGTTGTGCCACCCTATACCCAGAGGTCTCAGGGCGGCTCACAGAATTAAATCAAAATATAAAACCACAAAATATATAATCAAAATAAAAACAACCCAATAACATCCCCCCCAAAAAACCCACATTTTAAAAGGGCATAGGATGTCAATCAAATCAACCAAAGGCCTGGTTAAAAGGGAACATTTTTGCCTGGTGCTTAAAGGTGTATAATAAAGGCACCAGGCAAACTTCCCTGGGGAGAGCATTCCACAGACAGGGAGCCACAGCAGAGAAGGCCCATTCTTGTGTTACCACCCTCCAGACTTCTCATGGAGGAGGCACACAAAGGAGGGCCTCAGAAGATGATCTCAGGGTCCAGGTAGGTTCATACGGAAAGAGGCGGTCCTGAGCCATTTAAGGCTTTTTAGGTCAAAACCAGTACTTTGAATTGGGCCCAGAAACTAATTGGTAGGCAGTGCAGTCGGACCAGGATCAGTGTAATATACTCAAACCATCTTGCTCTTTTGAGCAACCTGGCCGCTGAATTCCGCACTAGCTGAAGTTTCCAAACCGTCTTCAGAAGCAGCCCTATGTATAATGCATTGTAGTAATCTAACCCTGAGGTTACCAGCAGGGGCATACGAAGGAGGGGCGCTCCGCCCCGGGTGCTACCCCGGGGTGTGTGTGTGACAAGATGGCCCACTGCCTCCTGCCCCCCCCCCCGGTGTAGAGCAGCTGAGGACGCACGTGCGCACCGTCTGTACGGGCTGCCGCTCAAGCGCTGTCCATATGGGCACCATGCATGCGCAGCTGGACAATTTGCCCCGCTGCACCCCACCCCGGGTGCCGGAGAGGCTTCCTCTGCCACTGGTTACCAGAGCACAGTCAGCAGTAGTTTGGCTATCCCTGTCCAGATAGGAGCGTAGCTGGGCCACCAGCTGAAGCTGATGGAAGGCACTCTGGGCCACTGAGGCCACCTAAACAATTCAATGCATAATAAGATGCTCTGTAGCAAATCTCCCTAGCAAGAGATTTAGTTTTAAATGGTTGTTACAGCTGCAAAAGCAGGAAGTATACAAGGGAAAGGGTTCAGGTTGCAAGTTACTCAGCCTGTGCTGTCCCTTCTATAGTGTTTGGCTATTTATCAGACTAGCTCTTTGGCTCTGCGAAAAGGTGTTGTGCGACAAATCTGTGCAAATCCCAATCTTGACTTTTCCAAGCTGTGCCAATACTACCTTCAACTGTTTTCAGAGCCTGATTGCTTCATGTACAAAACTAACATAAAACACTTTGTGCTAGAAAAAAATACTGGTATATTAAAAATTGTGTATTGTGTTTTAGATCATTGTTACATTTTGCTTTAAATTTGTTTTTGATCACTTTTAAAACTGGGCTGTTATGCTCTACCATGCTTCCGGTAACCCCAGAAGACACAGGGGGCAGGGGAAATAAAGGCTTTTAATTATGTTGTAGAGAACCCAGGCACCACTTCAGCTGTGCGGCTGGAACCCCAAACTCTAATAACTAAACCAGCAAATGTGTGTAACCCAGATGAAAGGAAACCTTGAAATATGTAATTTAGGCTATTATTTACACAGCATGCCGGTTCTGGTATCTTGACCTCACAATAATAGATCACAATTTTTTTCTTGTGCCCTGGAGTACCTGATAAAATGATGCCTCCTACCTTCTGGAGGTATTGCTTTGGAATAGGATTGCAATTACTTTTACTGTCATAATTTATAAACCAATATACAGTCAGGGTTATATTTAGAACTATGGAGTTCTAAATGGGGAGCTTTTCCTGGGGAGCTTTAATTAATTTGGAAGGCTCCCCATTTTAGAAGTCGCAAGTTAGAATGTGACCCAAACCGTGGTGGTGTGAAGCTTGTGACTCACCCCTTGAATGTTAAGTAAACACAATTTCAAAAATCTGAATACATTCTGCCAATTTCAAATGGCACATAGAAAAGGAGATTGGAGGCAGGAAAATGGCACTCCTCTTGAATCCACCGTTTAAAACAACAGCTTCATACTGTTGTGTTCTGATAGACCTGAATATGAACTGAATGTCCTATTTCTATGCTTTGAGTCTCCAGCGAGAATTATCCGACTTTTATTATTGTTTCATCTGCATATTAGACTTAGGAATTCAGAGCAATGTGTTCGTCTCAAGCAACCCTGCGAGGAAGGCTCAGCTTGGGATACACTATCATGTTCTGATGGGATTTGGTGCTCACCAGGGAAATGATAGAGATTCCCAGAGTCTCTTCCTGTAAAACAAGGGCATATCAGGACTCTAGCTACTCCCAATGGACTCTTCTGGCTGAGCTTTGGAAGGTGGTGTTTCAGCTGAGAACCAAAGTTATCCGAAGAGTGCCAAGGCTTCCCTTCTAGTGGTTCCACCATCTTGGGTGAGCTGGGTGCAATCTTTTAAGTAGCTCATTTTAGTTGCATGCTCCTGTATGGCTGTGGAACAGGAGAAGCTACGGAGGAGTCATCCCCAGAGTGGGGGATGCTGGAAGAGCTGTGTCCTCAGGCAAGGATGGGGTAGAAGGGGTTGCTGTGGGTTCCACCTCCCCACTGAGCAGGGGTTGACTTGTGAGTCATCTGAACCTGAGTCCTCCTTCACTGGGATGTGGATGCAGGGGACATAACATTAATTAGCTTGTGACCTCACAGGGGTAGTAGGGATTTGAATAATGCCACATTCAAACCCAACGTTTTAGCCACCACGCCACACTAACTCTGCTCTTAAATTGACTTTTCCGTTCGAGCTGTATTGCAGCATAAGATTTCATGAACTCAGGCCTGCTTCTTCAGATGTGTAAAGTATTATCCTTACTGACTGGATGAGGAGAGGGTTGGGGTATGCAGGGGGTGGGGGATTCTCATACTGACTGACTCTTATTGGTTAGCTGTGGAATAAAATCAATTATATTTGGAACTTTGGAAACTAATAGAGGCTTAAGCTTAAACTTGCTCCTAAGTAACCCCTCCAAGGGTCACATGTTGCAATTCGTAGTCATGTAGCAGGGGACTAATTATAGTAAGGCCATGGATGATCGCTCTTTTAATGATATCTGTGTTTTAGGTAGTGACCATTTCTGCACAGTTATGTTGTACATTTAAGTACAAAAATATGCAGCAGAAGGTAATGTCAAAATATTATTCTCTCTAATCAAAAGATTGCTCAACATAAGCTATGGCTGGAAATGCTGGCTGGGTTTGAACATGCATGCTTTGCCAGCAATGTACAAGGAGTTACGTTCTAGGAGGAACTGTGAACTTACTTGGATGCCTTCTGTGGGAAAATACTTTAGTTGGTTGATGGCATCACTTTTCCTTAAATATGCTGAAGAATTTCTTAAACTCTTGAGCTGCTTATTATTTGAGACCCTGTCATGATGGAAAGCTTTAATTTACTTGAGGTCACACAAGAGGGGGAGTAATAGGAGGCAAGCTGAACTCTAGATGATTCCTGGCTGATTTTGCCTCTGGCTAAACAGTGATGTTGTAGAAAGGCTTCTGTGCCAAAAATGCTTCACCAGAAACTAGCTCCTTTTGATTTAAGAAAAATGGATCAATCATCCTTTGGGTTTGTTTGTTTGAAACCTGAATCAGTTTAACATATATATTTTTAAAAAACAATGTATTAAATATGTTTATTTCGTGGTTCAGTAATACAACCAACCACAGCTGCGGATGTTTGGGCAAGGTCAGCTAATATAGCACCTTCTAGATGCTGTTGGACTACAGCTACCATTAGCACCAGTCAAGATAGGCAATGGCCAGGAACAGTGGAAACTGTGGTCCAATATCTGGAAGGTACCATGTTGACTACCTGGTAGTTGGAGAATGAATAAACTAGTATATGCAAAGATGTAGCTATAACTGCAAGATGTGTTCTGATAGCTCAGTTGGTAGACCATGAGATTCATAATCTCAGCATCGTGGGTTCAAGCTCCTCGTTGGGTGAAAGATTCCTGCATTGCAGGTGGTTGGACGAGATGATCCTTATGGTCCCTTCCAACTCTATGCTTCTATGATTCTAACGTTGTCAAAGCAATGCTGGCTCAGGGGATAGCTTCAGTCACCACGGTACTGAATAGGTAGGGTCAGAGAACAAGCATGTAAGATTGCAGATTATTGATTTGTTACCCACCCTTCACCTGCAACATTAAAAACAACTTAAAAGCCAGGGTAAAGAGGTACATCTTCAGCATTCATGGGAAATGGCATCATGATGTTCCCAGACACACCTCTGTGGGGATGGAGTTCTAGAAACTTAGGGTCTACAGAGAAGGAAGTGGCCTTTCAGATATTTTGGGCTGGAGTTGTTAAGGCTATAAACACTAATGTGACCACCTCACCAGCTGAGCAATTGTGCTCCCCTGGTGGGAGTACAGTGGCACCTTGGGTTATATACGCTTCAGGTTAGACTCTGCTAACCCAGAAATAGTACCTTGGGTTAAGAACTTTGCTTCAGGATGAGAACAGAAATCACATGGCGGCGGCGCAGCACCAGCGGGAGGTCCCATTAGCTAAAGTGGTGCTTCAGGTTAAGAACAGTTTCAGGTTAAGAACGGACCTCCGGAATGAATTAAGTACGTAACCCGAGGTACCACTGTATAGCTCATGCCCTACAGGTAAATTTAGTGGACTTTTAGAGTTGCAGGCCCAACCTGGTACCAACTGAAATTAGACAAATCACTACCAATTTGATATTTAGGCAGGTATTGAAGACCTTTGGTTTAAAAAGGCTTTCCCTGGGGGAACCCTGGGGTGTGCGTGCCCCAGGGAGGTCACTTCAGTGCTGGTAACACAGTGGTTTCACTTCACCCCCTGAGGCTTACTCCATTGTCTCTCAAGTCAGATGGGTGCCAAAAACTCTTTGGATACCCCTGTGAGGAGATGAGGGGAGTGCTGTTTCTGTTTAACTGACTGGGGAGCAAAATTTCAGGCATTAACTTGTCTTAGTCACCCAGTAAGTCCACAACTAAGTTGAGATTTCAACAGAGATCTTGGAAGAAGTATGTTCTATACAGTGGCTGGGATTACACAGGCGCTTGTTTCCTCCTTTGGCTGTTCTAGTAAAACAATTTTATTTGGATGCTTAGCAGAAAACATAGTAAAATAATATTTTATTAGAAAAGCAGTTAGGGGACTAGTGCTAATATGAACATTTGTATTCAGGAATTGTTACTTCAGGGAACAATTAGTTTGCTTCACATTAACAGGCCTAATAAATGAGTTTTCCTGTCATTAGCGTGTTACTAACAGATGTGCAGTGACAGATGAAAAGTGTCCCCAACTGTGTTCTAATCCCAGAATTTGGCTCAAAACCGACACTGCTAAATTCTTATACAAACTGCTTGATTTCAAGATGGAGACTCCGATTTCCTACATATAAGCTACTTCTATTTCTTGCCCATCCTTCACCATAATGTCCCAGGGCGTGTTATAACAATTAAAAAATATATTAAAAACATAACAGATTGCAATAAAGAGAAAGGATATATGAAGCATCTCTTAACTTTATGTGGCACAATGTATTTTGTGCTTTTCAAATGTTACTATGCTTGTAAAATTCACTATATTAATGCATAGATGGATTGTGGTGGCTCATGAATCTCACTTTTGCCCAGCCTACTACTTGAGAAACATCATAGTGACTATTTATTTAGATATTTACATTTCTTTGTATGAAATTGATTTTTATAAAGTATCTCTGAAGAAATACCTGGCTAGGAAGGGTGGGGTTTTGATAGCATTTTTTCCTCTGTATCCATCATGGCTAATATGGTTCCTGTGGTGATGGTTTTAGTACCTTCTTACCTTTGGCTAAAAATGTAGTCAAATCCAAGCAGAACTTCAGAAAAGCGCATTATTAATCTCCCCCCACCCCAACTCCTTAAAATTGTGATTAATGGCTTTCATAAACCCATGTATTTGTTTTGAGGTACTAAATGTATACAGCGAGATTATGTTTTTAAAGAATTGTTTAGGTATTATCAATTGTTTTGGGAAAAGAATGTTGCCTGAAAGTCTGAAATTATTAGAGTTCTTAAAATCTTGACTCTTTTCCAAGGCAGCCCCATCTTGCCTGCCCCAAGCATCTGTTTTTTCAATCTGAGGTTTTGGGATTTTGTTTTTATATTTTTGTAGGAAAGGGAGCTTTGTGAGGATTGCCTATGACAACCAATTCCATCTTGAATAAAGCTTCAGTATATATGCCCTTTGTTTCTTTGAGCCAAACTATACTACTAAAGCCTAATTAAATTATACCCCTCTCACATAATTTTTCTCCTTTTATTTAAGCATTAACCATTTCCCAGTCGTACTGAGTACAACAAGGAGTGCTGACGTTTATTATGGGAACACGATACCTCAAATCTATTGGGCCATTTTAAGTAACTGATTAAAGTCCCAGGACTACTGGGGGAAAGATGCTTATTTGCAGAGTATGTGTACTGTGTACTTCACTGTGCAGAAGTTGTGGTGCACCTATTCGTTTGAGAATGTTTCCATTTTTCAAAAGGTAAAATAAAAACCTGCTCTTCAGCTAATTGTGGCTGCAATTTGTTCAATGTAGGTGGGGTTGGCTGAAGCTTCAGAGTATCAGTTGGACCTTCTGTGTTCACCAAATTCTTTATTCTTCTCCACAAGTGATTCTGCAACAAAACGTTGCAGTGTGTGGAGCTGTCCAGGGTTCCAGCTAGCCATGTCTTCTTCCAGGATACTTGTTTCTATTCCATTCATCCTCTCTCCCCTCCCTCCCTCCCATTTCTACGTCTGCCTACAATCAGATAGCATCCCATGCCCACTGAGCAACTGTAGTCTCATTGAGCTATTCTTGTGACGCCCCTTCCTTCTGTGTTTTCTATTAAAATATTCCCGTACTTTTGCAAAGCTTGGAGTTCTCCCAAGCCTGCTGATACCTTCTTCTTGTGTGTGAACGGTTTCTCCCCTGCACCCCTGTATCAGGAACTACACTTGAAGAATGAGTTTGCTATTGACATATAGGACAGGATTGAGGAACTGGATCCAGCTGACGTCACCATAATGCCAAGAGCACTGTTTTCCTTTGCTGGCATGGCTTAATTTTAAACTGCAGGTAAAGGAAGCAAGGTTTGCAACTGCTGGTGGTGACTGGCGGCAACTTCCAACCTCAGACCCTTTGCCTACACAGTGTGAAATTGAACCATGCTGCTGAAGGAAGAGTTTCCCTGCGGGGGGCTGGCTCTAAGCACCGTTCAGCTGACTGGCATTTACAGTCAGCCCTGCTTAGGGAAGATTGGCTGCTCTACAGCGTTCCCGATCTCTATGGGACTGCTGATCAGCGCTAAGAACATGCGTAACTTTGCCAAGGTGCAATCAGCAGAGCACCCTTTAAAGCTCCCAACTATTCATTTGCAGCCACATTTTTACCTGTTTTCATTATGTGTGTCAACAGGTGTGGGGCAGGTGGCCATGGTTTGTTAGAGAGAGGACTTGGGGGCCAACTAAGGAGCCCTGATACAGGACAATGAATATGTATGAGCAGTGCCTGCAGAAAGCCCTTAACTAAGAACCAAATAAATGGGAGCTCTGCAGTTAAGATTTTTTAAATGATAAATTGCCACTGCTGGTTGGAAAGGGGCAACAGTGCTGAGGGAAGGAGGTGATTATTGATCTGTGTAACCCACTTTGCTGAGATGTTGTAAAAGCAAATGTATTGGCTTTGGCTTTGGTTTAGAGATGACTGTGGCACAAAACCTGCACTTTGAAATGCTTTAGACTTTTTTGTGTCTAAATGAAATCAGAGGGGAAATTTGATAGAATCTTTTATTCTGGAATAACCTAATAAGAAATAGATTTAACTTCAACTAATAACTAGCAAACAACAAAGTATCATTAGTTTTAACAAAACCATGGCATACTATGAATTTGAGAATTGAACAGTAAACATATTAAGCACACTTTTAAGAAAGCATGCTTAAGCTGGCAGCTCCAGTTTTAAAGGGAAATTAGCTGCATGACATCCAAATACAAATTGAGGCACTGCACACATGCTCTAAATGTGTATCTCTGGAGGATCCTAGTGGTGCTCCCACTTTTGCCAAAAAAAGAAATCCTTTATGTTTAGTGAAAGCAGACATTTTATTTTAAGAGATTACGCTTGGCAAGCTGTTCTAAATTGGCAGTGGTTCTCTTTAATTCTGTATTAATCTAGTTTTTAGTAAGGGATTTTGAATTCTGCCAGTGACAGCTTGTGCTCTGGGAGAAAGGGTCTTGTTTCCCATCATTATGATCTTAGAATGGAGCTAAGAGACATTCTTAGCAAATGTATCGTCCCAACACTATAGGACTGACATAACGGGAATAAAGGGAAGGAAAACTTGCAGGAAAAAATTTGTGGAAAGGAAAGAGAAGTCCTTAACCCCCTTAAGCACACATACATACACACACAGACATAATTTCCTGCAAATGTCTCCCAGGGGACTTGTTTCCTCCAGCTGGGCTACCTTCCTGTTTCAGAGCTTATGGGGATGGGATGAAATGAAATGGGGAGGGTATTTGCAGGGGAAGCTGGGAAGGGTTAAGCATTCCTCTCATTCAGCATAATTTTAAATGTAGGAACATCTGCAGAATTTGTGTTGAGCCTTCATATAGTTTATTTTTCTTTTCGCTGACACACAAATTAATCTAAACTATTTTGCACTATCAGGGCCAAAATTAGTTTCAACTAATTATAAAATATTGTATAACATTATTGTTACTTGTGTAATGAGTTAACTTATTATTTATGGAAGGTTATTTCTGTTTACAGAACAATTGTTTGATGTTGAAAGTGCTGTTGTGTGCCTATAACCTCTACGTGTGCATTAAATAACATCTAGGTATTGATAACTCATTTTCAAATGTGTCTTGGCTAGAGGAGCTTAATACAGAATGCAGGCCTCTCCGTTAGTACAGCATTTACTGTATTTTTCGCTCTATAAGACGCACCTAGTTTTTGGAGGAGGAAAACAAGGAAAAAAATATTCTGAATCTCAGAAGCCAGAACAGCAAGAGGGATCTCTGCACAGTGAAAGCAGCAATCCCTCTTGCTGTTCTGGCTTCTGGGATAGCTGCGCAGCCGCTCCTAAAGATGCACACACATTTCCCCTTACTTTTTAGGAGGGAAAAAGTGAGTCTTATAGAGCAAAAAATACGGTATCTGAATGTCTTTTTTGTTGTTAACTATCTACATTCTTGAGGGACGCGGGTGGCGCTGTGGGTAAAAGCCTCAGCGCCTAGGGCTTGCCGATCGAAAGGTCGGCGGTTCGAATCCCCGTGGTGGGGTGCGCTCCCGTTGTTCGGTCCCAGCGCCTGCCAACCTAGCAGTTCGAAAGCACCCCCAGGTGCAAGTAGATAAATAGGGACCGCTTACCAGCGGGAAGGTAAACGGCGTTTCCGTGTGCGGCTCTGGCTCGCCAGAGCAGCGATGTCACGCTGGCCACGTGACCCGGAATTGTCTCCGGACAGCGCTGGCCCTCGGCCTCTTGAGTGAGATGGGCGCACAACCCCAGAGTCTGGCAAGACTGGCCCGTACGGGCAGGGGTATCTTTACCTTTTTTATCTACATTCCTACTTCCTTTGCCATATTCCTCCTGAAGAATGCACCATTTCCTAAAATTCTGCACCACAGGGTTTCACACAGTATAGCTTTTACTTTGCTTTTCCGTAAGTTCTTGTACACATTTGTAAGCAATCTGAGGCATAAGTGAATCTGTTTAAAGTTTCTGAACCTGATTTAGCAAAAGGGATTGGAGTACCAGATGGCTTGATTCTTTTCATTTCAATGCATGTGAAATTATGAGCCCACGAAGAACAATATGGTCTTTCACTTCATCATGGGTGTATATGCACAGTGTGGTTATCAGCTTACAATTGCAGGACCGTAACTTCTAGTTCATTGTTCCCCTAGATGAGCACAATGCCAGGATTGCCTACAAGGCCTTGCTTCTATGACATTGACCTGGACCCTGAAACGGAACAAGTCAAGGGGTTGTTTTAATAAAAGCACAAAAATAAGGTGAGTGGAAGTTCTTGTTAAATAGGAGTCCCTTTGGTGTTTGACAGTAGTAAGGAGCTAAAGAGATTCAAATGGACTTTTAATGTTTCTTTTCTCACATCTTGTGGCTTTCATCTGTGTCATACCCAAATCTTTAATAAGATATATCAAGGATGTTTCATAGGAAATCACTTATGTTATTTATTTATTTATTTATTTAGATTTGAATGTGATTATGTTTTACTGCTGATAGTTGTATGCTTTGGAAGGTCAATCTAAATTCACTAAGTGCTTATCATTTCCTCCAATGCCCCATCGGTTTTCTATTGGTACAGTGGATGCTCAGGTTGCGAATGTGATCCGTGCGGGATGCATGTTCGCAACCTGCGATTTGGCACTTCTGTGCATGCGCGACCACCGAAACCCGGAAGTAACCCGTTCCGGTACTCCCGGGTTTTGGCGGTTCACAACCCGAAAAAACGCAGCCTGAAGCGGCTGTAACCCGAGGTATGACTGTAGTTCTCATTTTCACCATGGGGTGGAGGAGGTGGGGAGGAAGAAACAGGATCCAGCGAAGTCCAGCAAACTGCATGACTCTAAGTTAAGTCTACAGTTGAGAGCAGCTGAGACTTGGTTAGTCAGGGAGGGCCAGAAGAAATTAGCCTGCTGTGTCCCTCACCACATATAGTAAGTATCTCTAGAAGATGGGGAATTAAGGCTGAGGGAGTATGTTCCACCAAGTTAATTTCTGCACTATTGAGATATATATACTGCTCTCTATCCCAACCTTATCTAACCTCTTTGGGGAAGATAGCTCAGTGGCAGAGCCTCGTGTTGTGCTTGAATAAGGCCCAAGGTTTAATATCCCGCATTCCAAGGAGTCAGCTGGGAGGGGGAACCTGAAGAGCCTATCCCATTTCCTGACACTATCACACAGCTCTTCCTGTCCTTAGCACCTACACAGATTTCTTTGAGTCAGGCTGATATCCCACTTCATTCACCAGACTTTGAGTTCAGTTTGTGACATCTTGCACATCAGCATTTAAAACATTCCATAATATAGCAACAATTCAGATACTGGCTAAAGGAAATCTTATGGGTGGCATCCAGTTCTTTGTAAACCGGATTTTCTGTAAACCACTTACAGTTTATGGATGGTTAAGCACTATATAAATGCTGCTAAATAAAAATAAAAAAATAAAAATATTATGTTTGGTCCAGCTTCTCTTACAGGAATATCAAAAGCCCTTTTGTGTAACCTTCTGCACCCAGGCTTTATGAAGTGCCTTTTTGCAATTATACTTTTCGTTCCCATTTCAAGTACAAAAAGTACTGCCTGAATTTTCCAGAGAATTCCAGCAAGTATTGAATAAACAAGTTTATGCCTTCCTTACAAATGCACCGTGGATTATTTTAAGACTCCGGGGACGTAGTCGCATCCTATTAAAGTCAATTGCAAAACAACCATTGATTTTAATTACTCTGAATTGAGCATCTGGAAAGCGGTTATTAAGATCTCAGCTACTTGGGATCACCCAGTCCTACATTCCTGAAATATGCTTGGACTTTGATGAACACAGGGGGAAAGGAATTCTAAAACTATAGAGCCACTGTTCAGACCACATCTCTACAGACATTGTGGTCATAAACTCAGTGTACAGGTAAGCCCTATTCAGACATGCTGCTGGCATATACATGCCTCCATGTGCAAAGGAGCACACACACACCCAACCCTCATTTTAGACTTGGCCCTCCAACTTGTGGAAGGTGACAGGGAGTGATGCTGGGTGGGAGTGGAGTGTAATGCACTTGTCCTCACTTATGAGTATGGGTGTATATGCAAGCAGCATACTCAAATAAGACTATAGCAAGCATCAGGTTTAGGAGATGCCAATGGGATGTAAGAGAAGAGGCAGTCACTCCAACAGCAACTAGGACATTAAGGGTGGATCATAACCAGCACTTTAATCATAAACCCAGAAGGTAATGCTGGAAACATTGGTGCTTTCAGCATTTCTCTTCCCCCCACAAAATAAAGGATCAGCTTGTGATGATCTGCACCAATCTGAAGCTTGCAGACCATCATAATAGGCACCTCCTCAGAGTGCAGTACTATTTTCAAGCCTTGAAGTTATAAAATGATAGCTAATGCATCTATATCTGCTAAAAGAAACCATTGACACTATGCGCAGAATTGCCAGGGGGGCGGAAAACACAATTTTCATGGCCTACAGCTGAAATGGGGAACCTCTGCTCCACGAGTCTCCTAACCCAACCTCTTTCATTTTCCCCAAGCCATATCCCTTCTCCCTCACCTCCTCGTTGCTTGACCTGCAGAGAGCTCACAATGGAGAGAGATGCTCGCTTGGTGATCTCTTCCCTTCTACATTTCTTCGCTGTGCTCCTTTCTCGGAACACAGCAAGGAAGCCAAGCTACGAAAGGAAACAGTGTGTGTGAATGGGCTTTAGTCTCACCTACTTCAGGCTTTGGCACCACCCACTGCCTATGGCCCTCAACCACTTTCCCATGAATGAATACAGTCCTCAGGGGTGAAAAAAAATCTCTACCCTGGCCTGCAGGGTAGTAGCATGTTGGCTGCAGTGAGCTGCTGCATGCCCTTTATTTCTGGCCACACTCACATAGCACAACCTCAAATTCCAAGGATCAATGATGTGGAGTATTCCGGTCTCTACAGGAATTTATGGTGCAGGAAAAAAATATGTAGAATTGGACCTTAGCTGGTAATAATGCTGGTAATTATAATTCTCTGTAGCATTTAATTAATTATTCTAATTGAGAAAAAGGCATTCGCAAACTTATTCCATGTATGAGATTGGAGTAGCTGCACTGACATAAATATGAAAGATGAGAATATTTTTTCTTCACTGCTCTAACATACACAGACCTGGATAATACATTAGGGATCTGTCTATATTAGGAGAAAGTACACTACACCATGTAGAACAGTTAAGTGTTTTGCTTTACTTACCCTCCAGGCAAAATAATTCAAGCACAGTAATGTTACAGATAATTTGCAGTCTGATATCCTTTTTTAAGAGAGAACCAAAAAAATACATGTTTCTTCAAACAATGAAAAAAGGAATTCTTGAAATACTTAACTTTTTTTCTATTTTCCAGACTTCTGCAGCTTCCATGTTTTCCTGGAGTATGACAAGCATGAATTTGAAGAATGCCTATCATGTATCTCTGCAACAATATTGGAATACACCAAAGCAAATAAATATAATATTTCTTGAAACCCTTCTGTAATAAAAAATAACCAAAGCAAGAACTTTTTTTTAAAAAAAAGCAGTACTAACTAATTTATTGTAAAGTGGCAGTGTTAAGGAATGTTTTTCAAGACATGCTATTTCCTGCATTCTAACTAGTGGATTTAGGTAGTGGGAAATGATACAGAAATATCTTTTCCACTTTTTAAGATTTTGATTCATTATTTAAGATGCTTTACCTCACTTGGGTCAGCCTAGAAAATCAACATTAAAAGAATAATGCTGTCTGATGCAGTTTAATGCATTTTATGGGGTATATATGCAGCTTCTTGAATTCAGCAGCTGTTGCACCAAGCAAAATTATCTGGGAATGTCTGTGCTATCTTTCAGTGTTACCTACTGGGGTTGGGGGAAGCTAGGGTTTCAAATGTAGGATCTCTCTTTTCATAAAAAAAAGCCCAGGAATTTTACAGAAATTGAAAATAAGTGTTGTTGTTTTCCCATGTGGCCAAACAGCTGTGAAATGTCCATAACTTCATGTATCTCACTGTTCTTGGTCTTTGCAAATGAGTTCAAGTTTCTGGCTTACTGCTTTGTACTCTCCTCAATATACCAAATGTCAACAAGCTTTCTTTCTTTTTACAGCCAATAGAAGTAAATCTTTATGTGCAGGCCTGCAACTTTCATTTTAAAAAAATGTACATAGGTTCAGTACAGTATTGGGTTTCTGAAAGAAGCTTTGCCCTTTTTTGGATAGTACTTTAACATAACTGTACTGCATTGTAGTGTTAGGTTAACAGGAGGAACCAAAATACTATTGTCTATTGGATGATGTATTTGCTGCTGCTTCTAGTCAGCAGTTGGCACTGTCCATCAAGTATCCAGTGCTGTGTAAGTAGGGTACCTCTCATTCTCTCTTTCCTACTGTGCCCCCCAAAACCTCTCTTGAGGAACCAGGGACACTTAGGGGGGGGAACTGGAAAGTGGAGCAAGGCAGTGCAGTAGAGGGAAGAACTGGAGAATGAGAGCTTGCAAAAGTAGCTTTTGCAAGCTACCTCAATCAGATTTTAAGCAGTTCTCCCATCCTATTGCAGCACATCCTAGGCCTTTCCTTGGTGGTGTGCTTATGAAGTTGCAGTGAATAGGAAGGTTTGGGAAGCCCTCTTTGCAGGAGCAGACATTTAGCACTGGATTAAATACCACAATACCTTAGTTTGGACGTTACAAATTTGGCGCCCTTTCAGAAATCTAAAATGCATTGGCATGAAGTTTATGCTGACAGATTGTTAATAGAACTCTATTTTGACAGATAATTTGGCAATATTGCTTCTCAAAATAATTTCTCATGACTATTATTGGTGTGAGTGATAGCATGCACAGTGTTTCCCTTCCAACAGCTATTGCATATTGAAAACAGTTTGATTGCATTAACTCCAGGCAGGCACCGCAGTCTTCTGTTCATTCAGAGGCTTATCAACAATCCATCCCACACAATTGTCTGAAATCTGGTAAACATATGACAAGTGCCCGAAAATAAACTCAATTTTAATCCTCAAAAATTGCATCACTGAGTTTCTGGATACTGGATGTCCATTCATTTTGCCAATTATATGATTTGGTTAGAACAGTGCAATGCTTTTTGAAGAAAAATATGGTTCATTTTCTAGACCCCTGTAATACAGAACTGGGTGGAGCAGAGAGACTTAATAATAAAAGGTGCTAATTGCTTTGTCTGCTGGTCACACATTGTAAGAAACTGTTTTTACCTTCAGATAAATTTCATGCTGTCAGTGATGTGGTAGGCAAATCTACTTGATGATTTGAGGGTATCCTTAGGATGGTGAAAGCATGTTAATAACAGAATGCACAACCCTGTCAAGATAGTCTACTAAATCTTCACCTGTTCCTTCGGAGAACTATGAGCTTTAAGAGCTACAGAGTAGGATTAAGGGCATCCAAGTTTAAATCTGCATGAAAAAAATAATAAAACTCCTCCTTCTGTTTACAATGTGGCTGTATGCAAAGCTTTTGGAAGGAAAGCAACAGAAGTAAAGCAGCTAAGACATAGGACTTGCTCAAAAAGTGCCAATTGGGTTCAAACTGGCACTTTTTGTAGAACTTGTTTCTCCTTTGTCAGTGTAAGATTCTTGAACCTTTCAGTCCATATTCCATCCTTTTTCACCTCTGCTGTTCCACCCAAGAGCAATTCCAAGGCTTCTCAGATTGCCTTGCCTAAAGTGTTGAAATCTTAATTTTTTACTTGTGGTTTGAGGAGCATTTTATTATAAGGCAATGTGGTGTGGTGGTGAGAGTTGAATTTCACCTAGGAGACTAGTGCTTAAATCTGCAACTCTCTTGAAGCTCACTGGGTATCCCTAGGGCAGTTGCTGTCTCATAACCTAACCTATCTTACAGAGTTGTTGTAAAGATAAAATGGTGAGGGGGGCGGGAAACCATGTACACTACCTTAAGCTCTGAGGAAAGGTAAAATATAAATGTCATAATAAATGCTTTTGCAAACTTGGTGATTAAAAGGGGTGAGGCCCACCACTTGTTTATCCTAAGAGGCTCTAGAGTTAGGATGTAAGCATCCTACAAAATTAAAATTATCAAGGTTTCATAAACAGAATTCATTAAGAATTAAACCAATTAGAAGTACCAGCACACCATGATGCACTGGTCCAAACACTACCCTTGATTTCCAGATTTTTACTGCAATATCTTTTTGCCTGGCTGACAGCTCTTTCTCCTGGATATGTGTGCTCGGCTCCCCACCTTTTAGAAAATAAACTGAATTATAGGCAACATAAAGTGGGAAAGCAGACTATCCATTTAGAAACATTTGGTGACAAGAAAATGGCTGTTGGGGTGTAGCTGGATAATTGTACATTGTTGGTTTGAAACCAATTTGTTTATGTAACAAATCAGTTACAGTCAACTATTTCTACAAGTGTGGTCAAAATTGCAACTCCCAGATCAGTAATCCAAACTGCAGTGCATTATATATACACATTATTATGTGTGCGAGTTAATGTACATTGGCTGGAGTGTTCTTCATGCAAAAGCTCAAATATTTATTCCCAAAGTAAACCTTTTCATTCAAAAAGTTTAAAGGACATTTGGAAGACGTTAGTTTGCATAAGCTGTCATACAATAAAGGGCTTGGCAAAAAAAGAGGAATCACTCTGAGAGTTAAAAAGCATGGGGAAAGGGAATCGTGTGCAATATGAGCATAGAACAAAATGTTCATGAATAAAATTTATAGGAACACACACTCTCTCTCTATATATATATATTGCTGTATGCAAACCACAACAATTAGTATTTAATAGTTTCCTTTTGAATTTCCAACTTTTCTACTGCTTTTGGTATGTCTTGCAGACCATTTAAAGTAGACCAAGGGTTCCCAAATTGTGGTCCATGGGAAGCCAGTGGTCCACAAGCTGCATTCAGGTGGACGATGGCATGTCTATGAATTTGTGTTTGAAGACGGGAGGTGGTACAGCTGTGCATTAAATATTCATATTGATTTTTAATTGTACTTTTATTGCTTTCTATACCTTACATTGTATTTTAGTTTAAATTCTATCCAACTAAGTTCCTCGCAGAGGAAATGAATGAACTTAGTCATGTCTATCAACTTCATTGGGTCTACTCTGTGTAGGATTAGCACTGGATATGTAAGAAATAAAAGAAGAAGCAATAAAATACAAGTGAATAGTCCTACAGCATCTAGCACAGTGCGTTACAATGGCTGCAACAAGCAGAAAAATCACTGAGTGATCCATCAAGATCCTTGGTAATTTTCAAGTGGTTCATGAAGAAAAAGGCTTCGGAACCACTGAAGTAGACCATCTCTGTACAGATCAACTCCCCTAAACAAAAAATCCTAATATAGCAGTTGTTAACTCTGGGATAGGAATCATTAGATCTGAGAGTGAAGTCAAACCGCTGCACCTCCGGGGCGCAAGCCTGGGCAATGTGTATGGATGTCCTGGGCTGCCCAGATGACAAGATGCCCCCCTCTTGGCCTCACGGATGTGAAACAAAGGAAAGCAGAGTAATATGTTTGGCACCAGCTTGGCTGCAGGAATTGCTGGAAAGAGGAATACAAGGCTCCATCCAACCGCTCAATCCTGTCCATCCCTAACTCACAGAGGAGAACACAGGTGCGTAAAATTAGTATAGTATAAGGAGGGTGGCTAGAGGAGTGGTTGCAATCTTTTTCTTGATGAAAAGCAGTGTACCAAATGCTTTAATAAAATTAAAAATTGCATAAACACCCCACCAAAATGGCCTGGCAAGGACACACGAGTTCCCAGAATGTATGACATACTGAGATGGTACAGGAAGAAGCGGGGTGGGGAGTGGAGAGAGAATTGGCCAGCTCAAGCCACTAATATCATATAGTAAGCTTTCCACTCATTTTACCTGGTCCTAGTGGAAGATTTTCTGTGGACACAACAGCATGACTGGATCCTACATGTGTGTTACCATGCAAATACATGTCAAATCTGGTTTTGCAATGAATCAATCTTCTGAATCTTAGAAAGCTGTAAGTCAGACTTCGGAAGCTCAAGATATTCAATTAATCTCTCACTACTTTATTTAAACACCAGTCCAGTTTCATAAATGTACTCCAGCCTCAATTTACAAATGCTTGGCTGCTGATATATATCTCTAAATGTTTCTCTTTCTTCTTGAACCAGACACTGGCATTTGTCAGTTACATTTACACATGGGTCATTCTATATGTCTCTGCAGAAACCTTGAAGCTAAGCCAGAACCCTGCAGCTGTCATTAATGCAAAACCAACAAAAATGATAAATTGTTTGTTCAGAGATAGCTGTAGCTGAGCAGATGTGCTTATATTTTGCTTAGTAGTTGATTAATATGAAAGAAAGTTCAATTCTTTGTGTGTGTGAATTTGATTTTTTGTTTGCAATTCTTTAGGAAGCACCAGA